AGTATATATTTCAGTGTCTGGGCGTTCTCAATTTTCCGCCATGTTTTTGATCGCCCCAACAGTGTATCAACGGCTAAAAGTGCCTGGGCCCTTTTCAGGATCGTATCCAGGAAAGGCGCGTACGAACTAGCGTACATTATTTATTGTAAATGGAAATGGCCTATGAAAAAAATGTTCTAATAAAAGTAATTAATGTAATTACTTGCTCCAACGTATAAAAGTATTAACGCGTTATTCGTCAACACTGCAAATTTTTCAATGTCACACCGACTTTGCACTAACACACGTACAAAAATCCTGTGATTGGTCAGAATAAAAACATGTCGGATGCGCAGTACGGATCGGCGCGAACGTGAAACAAAAGAGCGAGTGCCACTACTGGTTATACTGTGGTTATACTGTGGTAGATACGCAGGCGATTAGAACGAGCTGCGCAATCAGCTGCCGAGAGCTGCATAATAAAAAGGACGGGCAAGTATATAAAATCTGCGATCAAAATATATATTTTTATGTGGGAGAATATGTCGTCAGGTAGAAAACAAATACCGCGCGTTTGAGAATATGAACGCAAAACTCCGTTCTCTCAAATCAGCTGCGCAGCCGGCAGATCCGATGCCTAAAAGAACGCACTCGAACAGACCTTATAGCCGTATTACACTAGCGATTGGCGACTGCGTCTGCGTTCGCGTTTGCGTCTACGATTGTCTCTGGACCAATCAGAAAGGAGTTGCTAACGATTGCGATTCGCGATTCCCGTTTAACCGGCCGTCTATTTTCAAACGCGAACGCAGACGCAGTCGCCAATCGCTAGTGTGATACGGGCATTAGGTGCGTTCGGGGAGCATGTTTTCAGCGCTAAAAGCGTCTTCTATCTTTGTTCGACACACAGCGAGTGACGAAGGTAGACTGACGTTTTCAGCGCTAATAGCGTCTCCCCGAACGCAGCCCTTGTAATTGGTTGGTTCGTTGACCGCGTAAACTTAACCGCTTACATTTTTTCTAATCTCGCGACTGTCGTCTGTTCCTCTTGTTCGTGTACATACGTACCTTTTCTTTCTTCTTTATTTTTTCAACGCTCGATTAAACGTTTACCTTCAAAGGTACGGAAGGTTTAACCGTCGCAAAATTTCTTCGCTTCTCGTCCGAGCCAGTCCGAGCGAAACGGGAGCCAGTTTTGAACGAGCCTCTTTTACACGAGCCTCTCGTGTGGTGTATTACGTTATAAAAGATTATAATCTCTTTAACTTAACCGAACAATGGCCAAGTTAAACAAGACCATACGGATCAAGGAGACGGTTGTCGTAAAAGATACCAACATGGCTGTCGTGAAGGTAACCGAGTTTTACTTAATTTCTTCATACAATGCAATGCCCGACAAGTTAGGTTTCCTCATTTCGAGTTTGCGATACCCCTTCGGTTTTCGTTTTAGAAACTAAGAAAGAAGCAAGAAGAGGAGTCGAACGCATCGAGCGACGTGCACGAAGGTGACTCAAGGAAACTGAAAGCATCTAACGAAGTAACAACATTCGGAAATAGTAAGAGGAAAAAGAAGGACAAAAAGACGTCGGAAGTATTTCGAAAAGTACAAATTAACACGGATGGTAAAGCAAAGCGCAAAATGAAAAAGGGTAAACTTGACGCGCAAAATATAAAGAGCTTGGAGGATGTTTCGACGAAGTATTCAAGGAAATGTCAAAAACCATTTGTAAAAGTAGAGATAACTGCAAGCGGTAAATTAAAGGGCAAGAAGGGCGCCAATGGGCGGAAGAGCGATCTGAATTTTGTTCGCTCGAACAAAGATGCTACCGAAGTCAACGACGCGAAGGAGAGAAAGAGGAAGTTGCAAACGTTTGGAAAGGATTCAATCAACTTGGAACACAAAAGAATAAAAATTGAGAAACTCAAAAAGATGAGCGGGAAGAAAGTGAAGCGGATGGCGGTTGAAGCGGAAGCGCAACAAGTAAAGCCTGACAAAGTGCTGCAGCTGAATAAATACATGATGAAGATCAGACGATTAGAAGAGATGCTCACCAGCAAGTTGCAGGCGAAGAAGACTTTGAAGGACAGAATGGCGCAGCTAGAACTGGCTAGGTTTAGATTCATAAACGAGATGTTGAGTAACAGCAGCAGTTTACAAGCCAAGTGTTACTTCAAGCAAGATCCCGAGGCCTTTAAGGCTTATCAGACGGGATACAAGGGGCTGCTCAAACAATGGGCCATGGATCCGTTAGACATCATAATATCATCAATTAGAACATTGTTTGTATATTTTGTACCTTATCCTTAAACAAAATTTATATTTAATATGCTATGATGTCTCTTGATCATTACAGGCCAACAGACAACGTGATCGCTGATTTTGGGTGTGGCGAAGCACGGCTAGCTGTTTCTGTTCCTCACACAGTGTATTCGTTCGATTTCATCGCTACGAATGATTGGGTGAACGCTTGCGATATGGCTCGCACCCTGTTACGAATGAACAGCGTTCACGTTGTGGTGTTTTGTCTCTCTCTTACAGGATCTAATCTTGGCGATTATATCCTCGAGGCTAACAGAGTTCTTAAACATGAGTAAGTAGTAATGGGCTTTAATTAGAACGGCAGTAATGTAAGGAATTAATAATGCCTTTGTTTCGATAAATCTAGTGGTATTTTGAAGATAGCCGAGATCGGGAGCAGATTCGAGGACGTGAAAGATTTTATAAAATTGCTGCGCTGCTATGGTTTTAAAAATACGTGGAAAGACTTGTCCCACGAACTGTTTTATTTTATGGATTTCAAGAAGGAAAAGGACGTAAACGTGAAAAAGAAAGCTGTCCCTCCAATTACGCTGAAATCTTATTTGCATGAGAAGAAGTAACATTTTATTTTATATTGCGCAATATTTTTTTTCTACACAAACCTGAAATTGTTTAGCATAAAAATACGTTTTTATGAACTATTATACACTTCTACTATTCTATACTTTGTTTATACGATTTACCTGTAAGTAATAAGCTTATATCAAATGTCGTTTGGATGATGACTTTATCTGCTTGGTTTTGTAATATTCTACTCTTTGAATACATTGCTCAATTGGATACAACATATATTTTAAGTTTTAAGAGATAAAAGATTAATATAATGGTTTTGTGTTCATAACATATAAAAGCGTTTATAAAGTATACGTATAAATTTATTTTATTTTTTAATTGATATTGCCTAGATACTAGATAAATGTATTGTTTTATTATACTGTATCTCAATATTTTGTTTACACAGGCAATTCAACTTTCATTAAACATTTATTTACAAAAAAATACGACTTGGTTATATTCATGCTTTTACACTTATTTGTATTTTCCTGAAGTTTATACAATTAAATCAATTAGAATTAAGAACACGCTCTGAGCAAGATGTAGACAGCTCTGTAAAATTAAATTGAAAATACTTATTTCATTTAGAAAAAAAACCATCTGGAACAATTATCAATACTTATATGTGTACGTACGCCATCTACTACTATTTGTAAGTGTAATATTTCCGAACACTGTAAACTATTCTCTGAGTTATACATTTGAAACAGAATATTTTTACCACATAATGTAAATTTAATAAACTGTCAATTTATCAATCATTTCGCCAGTCAGTTTACCTTTTCCTCCGAGTCCTTTGGTTTTCTTTCTGCACTCGCGCAATCGATGCCCCATTCTTTTCTGCACGTGCCCTATGCACTCCTTTATAATGCAAGTATCATCACCGTAAGGAGCAGAATTTATAATACCGGTATAAGTTTTAGAGTCGCCATCACCGACGTAATTCGTGTACTTAACACCATAATTATTTTGTGAACGTTTAAACATTTCGGTGATGGCGTCAACTTCCATTTTACCGGATGATCCCGTGTGATTTGCAGTACACTCATTGTTGTGTTTTGACCCATTCTTCGTACTCAGCTGTATCTTTTTTCTTCTCCCAAAATTCGCACGATTTACAATGTGAACTTTTCACGAGAATATCAAGTACTTTTCCAGTATAGTAACCGATAATCGAAGAGACACCATACAGCGATGTGAAACCACGTTTCTTTCCAAGTGCCGTCCCCTGATACAGTTAGCTCGTTCGTCTCTTCAATGTTTCTGTATTTGCATGTCTCTTGTTTCTCTTGATCCGCAGCATTTTTAAAAAGTTTATTAGAAACCTCTTTAACACAACCGAGCATATTATCAACAATAGCATCATAGGTGCTTTGAAAAAGAAACTGTGGCATATCCATCAATCCGCAAAACTTTTGACAACTTTTTAAACCACGCCCTAGCACTCTCATAGTAAATATAAAACGTCTGTTAATTTCGTATGAGTGTCCAATAAAAGAGCACGAAGGAATTGAAGTAGGCTCGCATGTATCGCATATCAGTACAATTTTGAAACCAAGTCCACGCGCACTTGCTGTTTGAAATTTTATATCACCGTCGCACACTTTACATTTAACAAAATTTGAAATTGCAGCAAACACAGTGACAAAGTTCAAAATTCTATATTCATAATTCTATAGAATTGTCTTGCGGCACAATAATTTCTTTTGGCTTCTTAATTTTTTTCGCGGACGTACTGAAACTGCTCTCGTCGCTCTCAACAGTCTTCGGATTAAAGGATTGTTTCCTTTTTTTTTCGGTCTTGATTTCCGAACATTTTGCGTCTTTCGTAACTCTCTGGAACCTTTATGTAAATCCATACTGATTTAGAAATCGAAATGTAGAGCGAACGTCCGCACAGCTCGATGTCAACTGCTATACTGTAACGGTCTCTGGATTTCGTTCCCCTTGGAGCCGAAAACTCTTTGTATTTACAACTACAAGTATACAGGACCTCTTTCGTATTTACTAATACAAATATATCTTCACGGTACATAATATGACTCAC